AGAGGGTGTCGAGCCATTCCTAACGGAGTACCCGTATGATATATATAGGAGAGGCGATTATAACAAAGTTCCGATGATTATCGGGTTTAACTCTGAGGAGGGGTACTTATTTGCAGGTATGGAAAACGATACGACGATACCTAAGATAAAAGTTGAGAAATCGTTACCCAAAGACTTGTCCTTTCCCACGGAGGCGGAGAGGAGGCGTGTGGCTGCGCAGTTACAAAGACTGTACTTTGGGGACGAGAAAATATCTCAGGAGACATTGCTGCAAATTGCAAAGTTCCAGGGCGAGGCTTATTTCGTTAACTCGGTTATTGAGGAAACTGAGTATTTAGTGACAACGAACGACAGGCCGGTTTACAGTTACATATTCGGGTACAGCGGGAACCGAAATTTAGCGAAGTATTTTTCCGGGGAGCCGTACCGGAGCGCTCCGGGGGCGTCGCATGCTGACGACCTTTTCTACTTGTTCAGCCAGGGCGTGGTGCCCGCGCTGTTTGAAAACAATATGATAGACACTATGACCACGCTGTGGACCAATTTCGCTAAATATGGGTGAGTACATCATTTGACGAATTACTTTTAATAAACCAGGTATTTATTAAGATTATTTAATAAATGTTATGTTGCAGAGATCCGACGCCGGCATCGGAACCGCTGCGCTGGTCGGCTGCAAGCGGAGCGGACCCGCAAGCGCTACTCATCTCAGAGGAGCTCCGCATGACGCCGCTGCGCTACACAGATACACTCAAGTTCTGGAAAAATGTTTATAGTAAATATAGGAGAAAAAAACCATAACATATTTAGATAAATTCCTTTTACTTATAGTAATATAAAACTATGTTAACTTCAGATGTGTATAGCCTGCTACACACGTTTAATTTTATCTGACAGTTTTTATCTGAACATCTTTCAGATAAATCTGACGTGTGTAGGTAAAACTGAGAACTAACCAGTTCTCTAGATTTAGCTGAATTATTGGACTGTTCAGATAAAACTGAACGTGTGTTGCTGGCTTAAGGTCATTCTTTTTTATCGTTAATGTTTAATTGATAGAATTAACAAGTGTAGTTACTAATTGGTTTCTGTGTTTTGTTTCTTGTACTGTATATAATTATTACGTAAGTAAAACGTTTATAACCTAAAGAGTATGTCTGGTTGAGATTTATACTATAAGTTTTTGTTGGCTGCGCTTTTGCAGATTTGTTTTTATGTTTTGAATATTTATTTAATAAAACCTCAAATTCCTTCTTCAAATATATGAGTACATAATTTATTTTCTGAAGTTGCTAAGCGCTACAGGGTTAGGTATAGTGTTGGTGTTTTTTTTAGATTTTTTTCAAATATGTATCTGTGAAGTTACTTTTCATGACGTCGGGTTTGAACTTTGTGTCGACTGTGCGAGTCATCATTGTCAGAGATGAGATGATGCGAAAAATAAAAGAAATAGAGACGTAATTGTTTTTCATTTATAATATTTTTATCAAACATCAAAGTCATTAATTACACGATAGCAAAATTAGTTATTTCATGACATTTTATAACAATGAGCGATTGGACATTTTTTTTTACATTTATTTAACAAAAATGACACATTCACAGATAAACAGACTAGACTAAGCACATTTACTTATAAATGATATATCTTGTATCATGACTAAATTATGTTTATCTTTACGAAATGTCCTCAGAAAACTTAATGCATGAAAATGAAAACTCTTAGGTGGGAAAACGTTAATATATTTTGAGAAAAAACGTCCACCAGAACGTAAGCTACGGCCTAAATACAAAGTGTTTTTTCTGTGAAGGATTAAATCGGTCCAAGGAAGCCGATATTGGCCTTAAACCGTTCCTCTGAAACCGTTCCATTCATTCGGGAACCAAATTTCCGGTATTTGCCGAAACTAAGCCGCTTACCGACCTCTCCTTATTAAGTCTCCGAGTGAATGGTAGCGGCGACCGAGTGAACGAAAGCGGCCGAATGAATGGCCGCTAATCTCGCGCCGCCGCTCCCCGCAGCTCCTTGCCCTGCCCCGCAGAGCCGGACCAACGGTTTCTGGGCTAAGCTGTCCGGTAAATAGTAACTGTTTATATAAATAACATTGAAAAAATATCCGACAGACAAATAATTACGCAAAGCAGATTAGGAATTATAACACTTTAGTACCTACATAAAATTAATATTTTTAATGATCTTTATTGGTTTTTATTAATTTGTACTTATTTTTCATATGTAACATATTATATATTATGATTTTGATGAACGTTCAAGAGAGCGCGCAATAATTCTGTTAACTCTAGCAATAGTCGCTATTTTAATACCTACAATGTAAATACATACTTACTGTTTTATTAACACATATATGATAATTAACATTTCTTATAATGTTATTTACGTTATAATTATAGTCATATTACATGCAAGTTAATAATTAAAAAATTGCTTTCGAAATGACAGACATAATGAGTTTGCCGGCATTAGTGTCCTGAAGTGCGACTAGATGGCGCTTAGATGAAGTTAAAGGGGGACGCTAACAGAATATGAATTTACAGGAGAAGTGATGCTTCACAGCCATTTTAAACATATTTTCATTTTTAAATTAGAATTACCAAAATGACTAACTATTCAAATTATTACTGGAATTGTATTCTGAATAACTTATCGTTTAAAACCACACAATACCAATATTCGTAAAGACGACAAAAACTATATGAAAACTGTTGACGGTAGTTTCGTGCTATATTCAAGAGTAAAAAATTAAAATAATCCGCACTTTCAATAAAGATTAACAGCATAGTCGCATAAAAGCCGTCGAAATGCGACGAAAAATCCTTAAAACGCCGTAAATCCAAGCGTGGAATATCCCGTAAGCTGCGCCGCACTCTGTTTACCATAAGCCGGTGTTATCGGCCGCTGACACACCGCCCGCCGCCCGCCGCCCGCCGGAGCTATGGCCCCACCATGTGCGCGTTTATGAGACGCTACTTTGCTACTGCTGGCAGATCCTATACGGGTTTACGTCATTCTACGCGTAAATGGTGCACCTACGTAAGTGCCGCTCGCTTCGCAACCCTTATAATAGTGTCGCATTTTCTTTTAAATGACTACATTGATGACACAGTGGTCAGGGTAAGGACATCATCATAGATTTGCTTAACTGCGGAGGCCATCGGCCATTAGCCCCGGGCCGGTCATCTCGCTAATGCGGCGGCGGACCGCAGCTGACCATTAATAGTTTAAAGCTGAGACAAATGGCCGGGCCGAGACTCAACCCGCTCCCAACGATAAACTAAAAACTGGCTTCGGGATTTATCAACCGACAATAACCTAAGTGACCGCCAACAAATCTGACCAAAGGGTCGAATTGACCGCCGCCTGACCGCGGCAGTAGGCGCACGTTACAAGCACTAGCGTAAACGCTGACAATATAAAAATATATTTCAAAGATAACATATTTAGTGTTTACGTTATCATTCAAATCGAATAAAAGTAGGTATTTATTTTGGAATTTATTAACGCGGGCTACGATACAGTTCTAATAATTATCAGTTTTGTAGACTGACAACGATTATTTAGTTTACAACAGGATGTAAGATTGTAGATATCACAATTAGCAATCGTCGTTGCTGAACTTGTACCAAGGTCCAAGGTGAGCACGTGCAGAAATGTCCCTCGTTCGACCCACATTAGTCACCTTATCTACCTGCGGGTAATGCGCCGCCGGCCAATAAATATTACAATATGATAGCCGGTAAGTTGCGACTCTGTCGATATGCCGGCGTAGAGTAATGCGGGGTCGCCGCGCCGGCTATCTGCTTACCCACCGGTTATGTCTACGAAATGGTAATCATCTAAGAATTGTCGAATTTGATAAAATGGTTCTTGGGGTAAAAATTTTGATCACGCCTGTAATAATAGTACTTCTATAACTAAAGAAAATTGCTATTATTTAAAATCAGGCAGAATTAGGTTTCATTTGGGCGTTCTTAATGATCCGTACCAGATAACCAAAGTTTCAATAAAACTACAGAATATTGGGACTTCAAAGAATTCAGAAGAATTAGGAACAATAATAATTGCAAAACTTTAGTAGAAGTCACTTATTTAGGGATTACATCTAACTTTGCGCAATGTAATCATCACAGACGACGGGTCGATGATCTGGTCTCTTCACTAAACCCGATTATGAACTCAAATTCCAGGGACTTGTATGAAGGAGCGAATAACTCTTTACCGCGAAATCGTGGATTACGAATTCGTGGACCTTTCGATAAGAATGTCGATAAGGACAGATTTATAATACGAGTATTACTTTTAAAATGTATAACTGGAATTAATTATATTTTAAAAACATTCGCTGAAATAGTGATGTTTCCAAGAACCTTCTGCTCTACTGAACTAGATAAACAATTCTTTTTTTATTTTGTTTTCGTTCGGGAGCCGCAGTTTCCCGGCGCGTGTACCGACAACCATTCCAACGCATCGTATTTTTTTGCCTGCCAAGCTCTCGCATACCAAAACATACTGGAAACTAACAAAAAAAGTAAACAAGTTAGAACAATCGTCAGTATGTTTGGACCTAGCGCATTCGGGTCCCCAGGTCACCGGCCTCGCTACTCACGAGAAATCGTGAACGGCGTCAATATTCAAAGAAATGTTCAAATTATTTCTTTGTTTTGTGTCTATGTTAACATGTGAAACTTTCTAGACGTTTCTGTGGTTCCTTGAAGTCGGGTTTATTATTTATAGTCTTTAATGAATTATGTGTGATTATATTAATGAGGGTGACGGTTTTTAGTAGCAGACAGTTCAAAGGTATTGTGTTAGTAGGTCAAAATATCTTGTCCGTCTGTCGTCGATTGCATGAAACGGTTACAATTGTTTGCTGGAGCTAAAACTCATACGATAATTATCCACGACATGTTTTAACAAACAGTAACGTGTATACGTTAATATTAATTGCTTCATTGACATGTTAGCGGTATCGCTTTGCTATCAGATTCTGAGAGAGTCGTCGTCAAGGGATCGAAAGTCAGTTCATGAAACGTATCTGAAATCAAACAAGTCGGGTGAAGGGGTGGGGGAGGGGGAGGGGGAATATGATGGAGATTCTCAGTACACGTCTACTGACAGATTAACATCTTGAGCACTGTCTTGTATTGACAGACTACCTGATATTCTGAACAAACGCATCAAATTAATATATTGACACAACTTAATTTAGCGTGATGCTTCCCAATGAATATAACCGCTACTTGTTGTATTTAATCTACATTTCCTTGTACCATATCTATTCAAACATGTATAACAATCGATGTAATTTACATTTCGACATGAGATTGCGATATAAGCCGGAAGTGACTTAAGCTTCTGACCTTTATGATAAATGTCGCATCATTACTCACCGCTTACACATTTATGTGATTTGCTATATTAATATAGACATTGAAAGAGTAACAAATTTTAAATATTAAAAAAAAATATGGACGAATTGAGAAATAAATTGACAAATGCAATCATTCAAGTTAAAATATAATTAAGAAGTAGTAATTTGTTATTAGTAAGCGCTCTTAAAAAGTCGCAGTTTTTCTGTATCTATTGACCTTTTTTCTGTACAGCTTACAAAGTGATTTTTTAGATTGTTTTATTTTAATAACAGTTGCAAACAGTTTCTAATACACAGCTCAAATCAGAACCACGCTCGATACAGAGCGAGTGTGGCATGGTAAATGTGTGTCAGCATTTAGCAGCACGTAACAGCAGACTTTATACTTCTGTGCGCGGCAAAAGTTGTTGCTCAAAGAAAGCAAACTCAGCTCCCGACAATGATTGCAAACTGCGAACAAACACAAGACTTAACACGATTTTTAATAGACAAACTATTTTATATCCGAACAAGAACGAGTTTAAATTAATTAAGACCCAACATGAACGTCGAATGTAGCGCAGATGTGGGAAGATATTTGGTGAGACATTCGGATGAGGTACTGGTCAAGAGGTTTAGAATCTACTTGTA